CTGTTGCTACTCTCCCTAGGTGTGGTCGTCCTGTAAAAATGACTGCAAGAGCACAGCGCAGAATGCTGCATGAGGTAAAGAAGAATCCCAGAGTGTCAGCTAAAGACCTACAGAAATCTCTGGCACATGCTAACATTTTTGTTGACACATCTACAATAAGGAAAACATTAAACAAGAATGGAGTACATGGGAGGACACCACGGAGGAAGCCATTGCCGTCCAAAAAGAATATTGCAGCACGTTTGAAGTTTGCAAAAGAGCACCTGGATGTTCCACAGCACTTCTGGCAAAATATACTGTGGACAGATGAAACCAAGATTGAGTTGTTTGGGAAGAACACACAACACTATGTGTGGAGAAAAAAAAGGCACAGCACACCAACATCAAAACCTCATCCCCACTGTAAAACATGGGCGGAGGGAGCATCATGGTTTGGGGCTGCTTTGCTGCCTCAGGGCCTGGACGGATTGTTGTCATTGATGGGAAAATGAATTCCAGAGTTTATCAAGACATTTTGCAGGAAAACGTACGACCATCTGTCCGCCAACTGAAGCTCTGCAGAGGATGAGTGATGCAACAGGACAATGACCCAAAGCATACAAGTAATTCAACAAAACAATGGTTGCAACAGCACAGAATACGCCTTCTGGAGTGGCCCAGTCAGAGTCCTGACCTCAACCCAATTAAAATGCTGTGGCATGACCTTAAGAGAGCGATTCACACCAGACATCCCAAGAATATTGCTACACTGAAACAGTTTTGTGAAGAGGAGTGGTCCAAAATGACTCCAGATCGTTGTGCAGGTCTGATCTGCAACTACAGGAAATGTTTGGTTGAGGTTATTGCTGCCAAAGGAGGGTCAACCAGTTATTAAGTCCAAAGGTTCACATACTTTTTCCTCCCTGCACTGTGAATGTTTACATGTTATGTGCAATTAAACCATGGCAACATCTAATGTTTGTGTAGTATTATGTTCAGCAGACTGTGTTCTTCTATTGTTGTGACTTAGATGACGTTCAGAGCACATTTTATGCCCAATTCATGCAAAACTCCACGTAAATCCCAAGGGGTTCACATACTTTTTCTTGCAACTGTAAATAGAATAATGAACCACAAATCTCTCTCTTACAGAGATATTAGGGTTCCTATACAGAAGTTGAAATCTAACAGAGGCAGACCTAATCTGCTTCAGTAACAACTAGATAGATAGCAGCCTTGTTAATCTGGATCAATACTCACAGAATCACCATACAGTTCTCCCCAGATACACAGCACATGGCAGGCTGGCACCCTCTGCCTGATACTTCCTGGAAAAACAAACTATATAACATCCTGGGGTTTCTTGACCTCCTTGTAGGGGCAGGAAGCACACCTAGGGACTTGTCTGTAATGGGACCTCTATGGTAGTGGCTGTATATGAATGTAAACAAACCACAACTAGTGTATAAAAATAACAGTTCCCTACAATATGATTAGTTATATGGAGGAACCCAGATCATAAAAAGGAGCTCATACAGAACAATATCTCTGCCTGGGGAAATAAAGGTCATTGTGGGAAATATATTCCCTGGATATGGAACTGTGCTTTCTTCCCGTGAAATACTATTCACTAAAACACACAAAAATGTCTCACCAAGTGGAGAGCCATCTGCTCATCATGCACCCTATTGTATTCCCTACAGGAAATGGTTAGGTGGCGCTGGATCGCGACAGTCGAACAGTGATTGGTGCTGTTGCGATCCAGTGCCACCTAACCATTTCCTTAATTTTCCTGGCCTTCTACCTAATCGACAAATATGGTTATTTTTTTTATTTTTTTTATATGTCGGTGTGACCCACAGAGTGCCCCATAAGAGGGAAGTATTTTCATCTCTCTGCAACTAATATTTTAGCTTTTATGAGAGATTAAACATTTCCTTTGATGTATGTATTTCTTTTAAAGCTCCCCCAGACAGATTGGAGACCCCCTGCTGTCATGAAGCAGAAATGTCTGCGTTTCTCTTTTCAGCTTCAGGAAGGCGGCCAAGTCTGGGTAAGTATAGGTGACAAAAACTTATTAGCACCCAGGCATCACTTCCAGCCTGAGGAAGCTGCTCTGTCTCTTTTCATATGTTAATTGATGACCATCTGTCTGAGTACTTATGACTGAATATTTCTTTAATGACAAGGCATGCAACTACATCTACGATTACATTGTCATATTTTTCTACAGGTCACATCTTATCTACTCAAATCTGTACAGTCATGTCACATTTCTGTCACAACAGCAATGACACTACCATGTCCTACAGTGTTCCTGATTACCCCACACCAGTTGCAATGTCACCACAGCCAGTGCAGGCAGCAACAGTGTCCCTGATTGCCACTGCACCAATCCCAGTTTGATCCAACAACAGTGTTCCTGATCACCACCATGATGGTCCCAGTATCCCAGTAGTCCCATGTAAGCAAGCAACTTTGTTCGTGATTGCTGCTACACCAGTCCCAGTGCCACCCAGACCAATGCAGGCAGCAACAGTATTCCTGATCACCACATAGGTCCCAGTGCCATCAGACCTGTGCAAGCCAACAGTGTTCCTGGTCACCACCATACCAGCAACAGTGTTCTGATCACCACCACACCAGTGCCAGTAACCCAAACTAGTGCAACCAGCAACATTGCTCTCGATCACTGCCACACCAGTCCCACTGTCACCAGACCAGGGCAGACAGCAACAATGTTCCTGATCACTGCCACACCAGTCACATTTAGTGATGGGCTGGATGTTCGAGTTGAAAGTATGTTCGACTTGAACATCGGCCATTTGTGTGTTTGGCGAACACACAAATGGTAAGGGCATTTGACGGGCTCTGCTCCCACCACACCGCACAATGCACTGCGCTCTCATAGTGCATTGTGATTGGCAAAGCAATGCTTTGGCCAATCACACCACAACTAAGCAAAGCTAGCAGTAGCATCACCACTAACTCCCCCCAATTGTTTACATTTGTCAGATTACGGCGAGTGTTCGGCCGATGCGGACAGGTTGGAGGGCATCGGGTTTTTTTTTTTATTTCGGCGAGTCAGCGTCGTCATGACAACATAGAAAAAAAGGACTTGTCAAAAACTGTTGTTTTGTTTTTTCAAAAGACTGGTCACTAAATTTAACCCTTTAGAGAATGGGTAAAGGTACACGTGCCCCTTACTCATTCACAAGGGGGGGGGCGCAGCATCAGGGTGCCACTTATTTAAAGGGGTACCCTAATGCTAATATGCTCCCCTGCCCGAAGAGACCCACAACCACCGGGCATGGGTTGTGGGGAAGAGGCCCTTGTCTCCATCGGCATGTGGACACTGTCCCAATGTCGAGGGCACGTGGCCTGGTAAGCCGCATGGAGGGGGGGCACTCGTTCGTCCCTCCCCTTTTTTGCCCTGTCAGGGCTGTGCTCAAATCAAGGGTCTGGTAGGAATTTAGGGGGGACACCAAACTTTTTCTCAACCTTTTTTGGGGATGGGGTTTCCCTTAAAAGTTCTACCAGGCCTATAGAGCCTTGTATGGCTTTTAGAGGAAACCCTACTAACCTTTTCCTCCCACTTTTGGGCGGTGGGGTTCTTCCTAAAAGTCCGATAAGACAGCCCAGCACTAGCTGGTCTGGGGACAGAGATGAGAGTGCCAACCTGCTCTTATCTTCTGGAATGAGGTTGGCGGGGCCCTCAGTAGATGTAATGTGGCCCCAGTGAGGTCTTATTCCACTCAGCTCAGCCTCTTTCATGTAGATATGACATGTCTGACTTCACTGGCCCAGTCAGCAGTCCAGGTGCTGTCATGTCCATCCTCCGATGTCCATCTGGGAGAGCCCAATGGTGGACATTGTCACAAGGGTCAGGAGGATGATGATAATCACAGTGAGTATGTTTCACCCACTGATCCCTAATACCAAGGAGGGATCCATCCATTGGCAGTAGACTTGAGCCTGTTGGACTCCAACCAAGGTTGGGTAATGATAGCTAATGAAGCAGAAAGTTCTATTGACATTTTCCTTCCATTACAAGATGAGAATTGATATAATAACAAGGAGCACACACTATTTATCTCCCACATTGTGGTCTCTAAGGGACAATTCACAAGTGATACATTGGATCCCTTATTGATATGAGCTTCCATTAGAGATGGATCCATGTATACCAACATAAAGAGTATCTGCTGTATATGGGGACTTTACTATACATCTACAGATCTCAGTATGACCTACAACTTGGTCTATGGGATGTTCATTGTTCATGGGAAAGATACAAAGTTATCGGAGTCGTTCTAAGGGAAGGATGTGGATGAGGACGGTGGAATATAGTGATTGGGATTATTACAGATGACATCCTTAAACCAAGAGAGATGATCTGGAGGTAAGTGTCCAAATAGAAGCTTTCTATTACAGCAAGAAAAAGATTTTTACAATTCTGATCTGTATGTGGACTTTTCATCGAACATTTCTCTTTTATGTACACACTCTCCAGCCACTTTACTAGGTGTGTTCAATTGCTTGGCAACACAAATTGCTAATCAGCCAATCACATGGCAGCAATTCAATGCATTTTGGCATCTAGTCATGAAGATGAATTGCTGAATCTCAAATGGAGCATCAGAATGAGGAAGAAAGGGGATTTAAGTGACTTTGAATGTGACATGGGTTGTCTGGTTTAAGGATCGCAACAGCATATCCTGCCAATAGCACATTTCCAGAAGCATAAAACAAAAATACTTGGAAACAATACTATACATTAACTTGTTGAAGAACATGTAATCGGCCATTGTATGCCAGAGGGGGAAAAGAAAAAAATGAACAAGACATCCCATCTACTACATACTGGTCGTGACACCATCTTGTGTTCACAAAAGATATGGCAATTGCCAATTTAATAGACATAAAAACATCAAAATATTTTTAACATAAATAAAAAATAAATACAGAAGCACCATAAATAAACATCTCCAGTCGACCTCAAAAGATGTACCGTATTTTTCTCTCCAAAAGACACACCTAGGTTTTAGAGGAGAAAAACAAGAAAAAAAATATTCTGAACCAATGGACTGCAGACCTAGTGCAGGAGATGACCAGAGACTGCGGAAATAGTACAGGAGATGACCAGAGACTGCGGACATACTACAGGAGATGACCAGAGACTGCGGACACAGTACAGGGGATGACCAGAGACTGCGGACACAGTACAGGGGATGACCAGAGACTGCGGACACAGTACAGGGGATGACCAGAGACTGCGGACACAGTACAGGGGATGACCAAAGACTGCGGACACAGTACAGGGGATGACCAGAGACTGCGGACACAGTACAGGGGATAACCAGAGACTGCGGACACAGTACAGGAGATGACCAGAGACTGCGGACACAGTACAGGGGATGACCAGAGACTGCGGAGACAGTACAGGGGATGACCAGAGACTGCGGACAGCGCAGGGGATGACCAGAGACTGCAGACAGGTCCCAGAAGACGCCGGGCCATTCACAAAGTGCAGCACTTCTTGTGCATGCGCAATGGGCACCCGGATGTCACAGCCGGGTGCCCACACTAAAGATGCCGGCGCGGGAAGACTGTACAATGCTGGACCGGGGAACAGGTAAGGTCTTGCTGCAGAGAAGAGCTGAGCGGCCGGCCCGGTATTCTGACACGGTGTTAGCGAAGGAAATACCGGACCGGCTGCTCCATATTCGATCCATAAGATACACTGACATTTTCCCCCCTCTTTTGGGGGGAAAAAAGTGCGTCTTATGGAACAAAAAATACGGTAAATGGTCAAAAAGTAACCAGAAAAAGCTAACTATTATTGATGAATGATTGACGTCCCATTCAATATTGAGACCATATGGCATATATGATTGTAAAGTGTAAATCCACCATACTTCCAATGTAGAAACCTCCCGCTTGGTGTAACTGCCCCTCCAATTCTTGGAGAATTTGTCAATACCAATAAACAGAGTTCCCTCGGGGTTTTTCTCATGGTGAAGAGCATAATGCTTAGAAACACTATGGTTGGGAAAACCTTTCTTTATATTGGCAATATGCTCTTTTAGCCTAGTCTGTAGTGTCCTAACGGTGCGTCCTATATATTGACACCCACATGGACATTGGATTAAATAAACCACGTTTTTTGTGGTACAGGTGATACAATTATTAACCTTAAATGATTTATTAGTAATCATGGAATGAAAGGTCTCAATGTTTCTATTATTACATGTATTATGCTTACAGACTGTACACCTTCTACAGGGGGAAATAACCCTTAATCTCATGAAACATAGAAGGTTTCTTAGGAGGAGCTATAACATTAGGGGCACAAATAATCTCAATGGAGGTGCCCCTCTAAAGATAACAGGAGGGGCCTCCGGAAGGATGGGACCCAAAATGTTATCATTCCTCAATACTCCCCAAAGTTTCTTAAAGATATTTTTAATGTCATAATATTGAGTGGAGTATGTGGTGACTGTAAAATATCGTATTGTCTCGATATTTTATTAACTTGTATTGATGAGAAATGTTCAGATAGAAAGTCCTTCCACTTCTTGTATAAACTTAAAAAAAAATGATTTAATAATAACGTTGCATAAAATTAGAAATAAAATATTGGCATACAGAATGTTTAAATAATGTCCAAAAAATATAGTTAAGTTCTTGATAATAAGATTGTATATATGTATATGTTTGTATGTGTGTGTGTGTCTCTCAAGGCTTCAAGCAATGTGTGCGCGAAACTCAAACCTTTGTTCTACTCTTAAAAGAGCAATCCAGCCCCCACCAACCTAAAAGTGGGTTGGTATTCTCTTGTAGTCCCACTAAGATAATTGACACCAACAGGAGGTATTAAAACAAAACCTCCAATCTACTTCTCTCAAAGTCTGAGTGTAACTTTATCTCTTACATAGATGGGGGAGGATGGGGGAAGGTATAGCTAATTTCTCTCATATGTGGCTTGAATGTAAAGGAAAAACCCAAGAAATATGTTCATATGTATATTCACAGACTCTGAAGTCTAATTCCTTACTTTTCCCAATCTAGAACAAATATAAATATAATAACTCAATTATTCTATTAAGATCCAACTCATTCATACTTGTTAGTACTGTTAATAAGAAGATATTAGATATTAGATTATGGAAAGCTTCTAACATTTCCCTCTCAAAATGATCGATTTTATCGAATCTTAATCATTTTCCTTATCTTAATCCATTTATACACATTCTCGTCACTTTCGTATCCATTCATGCGTTTTTGGATCTTAAGATAATTGATCTGCACATATCTTTAATTTGATTCTATAATGGGAAAACAAATTTTTTTGATAAACCGTTTGTTATGTATCACATAAAAATATTTTTACCCTTATTATTTTCCTTTTACCAAATAATTCATCCCCTTAAAAAATGTATAACTGTAACATTATAGTACAATACTTTAAAATATGTCACTTAAAAAATAGATGTTTCATATTTTCCCTCCAAAATGTGTGTAGCACACAGTTCTATAATCCATACATTTTTCAAAATACCTTATCAACATTTAACCATAATATATGTTCTCTAACTTCAATCTATACATGTATATCAAATGATTTTTTTTTTTTAAAACATACATATAACAATGTAAAGCTTGCCTAAGTTTTTCTATATGTACCTTAGAAAAACTTATCTCTAGCTTAATTAACAACAGATGTTCTAACTAAGTAGAGTGACTCTGTTGTAACAAAAGTTTAACCCTTTCACTTCTGAAAATACATAGTGTGTGATTGCAAATGTTCATGTGAAAACTGATCTCATCTTGATATGGTAAACATATTGGCCCTGATTCACTATTGGGCGTGGGCGCATATTTATGGGCTTAAGCCCAATTTTCATGGGCGTCCGTCATTTTTTACCCTGCAACCTAATTCACTATTGAGCAGAGCCCATAAGCAGATGCCCAATCTAATTCACAAAAAGACACACGCCCGAAATCAGACTCACAAAACAGACTTGCTAAGAAGCAAGTCTAAAACCATGAAAAATCACTGCAGAAACATGTTCACTTAGAAATTTGCTTTGCCAAATATCAGGACTTCACTTTAAACAATATCTGCTATTTCCAAAAAAATTAAGAATGTGTTAAAAATCGTTTTTTTCAAGGAAATCGACACAGTAAAAATCTAGAAGCCCGTGCAGTGTCTTTGGCAGATACAACTGAGCATGTGCAGAACACATTTTAGACTTCTGCCATGGGCGTTTGCTTTTTAGCCACTGACTAATAGTGAATCTGATTGTGGATTCCTCTGAGAGCCGGCACTCGCTCGCGTCTATTGTGTTTAATAAACAGCACTCGGCATATCTTCATGTAATCTAATTAGATTTCCTTAGTTCTAGTGATTCTATTTTTGTTTCTTATCCTTTATAATTATTTCTGTAATGATTTTACTTATTTCAAAGGTCTAGATAATATTTATTTTGACAGCTGAATGTAAAAATAAAGGTCCACAATAAAAAAAAAAC